AGCTGTCTCAAGAGGTTTTTTTCAGATCATATTTAACTTTTAACCAACATCCTTCCTTATATTCTAAAGTTACAAAGCCAAATAATTGTTTAGAAGACTATTTTGAGAGTAAGAGACTCCTCTCCCTGGGGCAAGACTGGCATGTCATTAGAGAGCTAAGATGACATAATTCAAGACGAGAAGACACCCGCATTCACCTTTCCTCAGCACTGGCAGGAACCTTGGAAATTGGCATTTTATTCTTCAACTTGCGACAAAATCCACCAGAATAAATGGCTGAAGTTAATATCACTTACGTCACTGAATTTATCCTCAAGGGAATTACAGACCGGCCCGAGCTTCAGGCCCCATGCTTTGTGGTGTTTTTCGTCATCTACCTGGTCACAGTGCTGGGTAACCTTGGACTGATAGCTTTAATCAGGATTGATGTTCAACTCCACACACCTATGTATTATTTCCTCAGCCACTTGGCCTTTGTTGACCTTTGCTATTCCTCTGCTATCACGCCAAAGATGATGGTGAATTTTGTTGTGGAATACAATACTATTCCTTTCTATGCTTGCGCAATGCAACTGGGCTGTTTTCTCACCTTCATGATCACCGAGTGTTTCCTTTTAGCCTCCATGGCCTACGATCGCTATGTCGCCATCTGTAGACCCCTGCATTATTCAACACTGATGTCAAAAAGGGTCTGCACTCAATTGGTGGCAGTGCCATATACGTACAGCTTTCTGGTTGCCCTGTTCCACACCGTTATCACCTTCCGTCTAACTTACTGTGGCCCCAATGTCATTAACCATTTCTACTGTGATGACCTTCCCCTCTTGGCTCTGTCCTGCTCAGATACATACACGAAGGAGATTCTGATCTTTGCTTTTGCTGGTTTTGATATGATCTGTTCCTCTTCCATTGTCCTCACCTCTTACTTCTTTATCATTGCCGCCATCCTAAGGATCCGCTCTACCCAGGGACGACGCAAGGCCATTTCCACCTGTGGCTCCCACATGGTGGCAGTTACTATTTTCTATGGCACACTCATCTTTATGTACCTGCAGCCCAAATCAAACCATTCCCTGGACACGGACAAAATGGCGTCTGTATTTTACACAGTGGTGATCCCCATGTTGAACCCCCTCATCTATAGTCTAAGGAACAAAGAGGTGAAAGATGCCTCCAAAAAAGCCTTGGATAGAGGTTGTGAAACCTTACAGACATTAAAATTAAGAAAGTAATAATAATAAATGCTTTCGTAAATACAAACAGGGAAAGAAATCAAGCTTTCTCCTGCTGATATTTCTTGCAATTCTTTCCCAAGCAACTGAAAATGTGACTGTTACTTTAACAGACCTTGACATTGTCTGCAAGGACCTGGGCCAATCCTGGAAAATCAGTATGATTCAAAAAGTCCTGTTCAAGCCATTACAGCCTTCAGAGACCACTGAAATTACGTGTAAACACAAACACAAATGTACTCACAAGCACACACATGTGTATCCCAAGCAAACACAGCATCATGTTTTTGTTAGAACTTAGGACTCTAGAACCAACGCTGCCTGAGTTTGAATACTATTTCTTTCATTTATTAGCTGTGCAACCTTGGACAATTGACCTGAACTCTGTGTGACTCTCTTTCCAATTCTGGAAAATAATAAGACCCAACTGATGGGTTTGTTTTGAAGACTAAACAAGTTAATATTTATGAAATGCTTAAAACAATATCCAGTGATAATAAGTGTTAAGTAAATGTTTGCTATATATAACTAAAGAGTAATTCATTGAGCTCTCAAAAGTTAATTTGTCTTTAAGTAAAAGGACAAAGTCTAGTTATGCACTTAAGTAGTCCTACTTAATATAATCAAACAAACTTAGAGATGTGTGAGGTTTCACCTCTGGGCCTCAATTATTTCTAAATTTCCTAAGGTCACATAACTAGAAATATGAAAATTCCACCTGTAAATTGAAGTCTATCTGAATTTTGTTGTCCTAACACTATGGATGTTAAGAATAAAGGATATTGTAATATAGATTACCTAGACTTAAACAGTCATTATCAAATTTTTCAATATAATTTGAAGAACATGGTTTATAAGAAATTGTGTTTTTAAATGAATAAATTCAATGTGTTTGCATATTTATTTGTTCCAGTAGAAATAACCTTAGGTTATAATGTCATTTTACCTGTGCCTGCTATTAATTCAATCACCCTTATGGTTTCATGACATGAAATTTAAAAAATCAGTGATTTGATATGCTTTTATCGTGACATTTCATGAAAAATAATTGACTTAGTGATTTAACATTATTTTATCACTTTACCATTTTAGAAGGAGATTGTGATAGTTGTAATCTTTGTGTAGAATATGGTTTGAGATTTGCAATACAAGGCGATGATTTTCTTGTCTGCATTTAATATGTAAATAATTCAGATATGCTGCCATAGGCACTTTTAGAACCTTGTGAGTTGAATGAATTCTCAGGTTTTTAAAGCAGGTTTGACAGAGAAACATGGTGTTTCCCTTCACCACACTTTGTCTTGTGAGTGTATATTTATATGGACAGACACACACATATTCTCTCATATTGCCTTGGTGTAGCATTAACCCCTGGTCGTTCGCAGAATGTAAAAGAATTTACGGGACTCTACAAGAGGACCCAGAGAAAAGATTTATTGAAAGTTAAAAAGGGAGAGAGAAAGTTCTGTTTGGAACTGGCAGAAGTTTTGCCAGGACAGTCTGAGAGGGAGAGCTGCGGAGACAGAGGGGTAAGACAGAGATACTGGCAGAAGTTTGCCAGGGCAGAGTCCGATGGGGGGCAGCTGCTCCGATGAGAAGGAGTGCTGGGGTTTTCTATTTTTCTTAGCAGAATGTAGGGTGCTTGTCAGTTTGCAGGGGGGCTGCCATTACAGTTGTCTTCTCCTGGGAACTCTCCTGTTCCCATCTATGATGGAGGTCAGCTTGCAGGGGGTTGCCGTTGCGACTGGGAACTGTTATGTTCTCACTTTGATGGATGTAACGTGCTTGTCAGCTTGCAGGTGCAGTGCTGGCCAGGGGAGTTAGAGCCAAGCGGTTAATGTCTAGCTCATTCCTGTTAGCCCACAAGCCCACTCCTGTTAACTCCTTGCCTGTCCCATCCTGCCAGCTCACAATCCTGCTCCCGTTAACTCTTTATTTGTCTCATTACATATCACATGCAAAACACACAGAAGCCTCATAGACAGTCTCTCTTTTTCCAGGTAAAGAAATTCAGACTTACCAACTCTTGATACCTCACATGAGGAGAACTGCTCTCCTGTGGTTTCACAGTAACTTTCTGCTTCATAAAAATGGCTTACAATTACTTCATACAACTATTTAAACACCAATTGAATTGAATCATGTCTTTACACAATTCTAATTCCTCAGTGATCACTTCTTCACACTCATTTCCGCAGAGAGTGAACCAAGAAACTCAAGTGTCCTCGACAGACACGCTCTTCAGCTTCTCCCTGGGCAGGCGCCCACAGCTCTGTCCAGCCTCTAAAGCTGTGCTCCAGCCATTGCCCAGGTGGCTGGACTGTTCTCTGGAAATACCAGTCTTCCAGTCAAAGTGTCAAAATCAGCATTCTTCCTTATGTCTCCAGGGATATTTAAATAAAATGTTTGTGTTTTCACCCCAGCTTCTGTGGTCTCCAGGATGTTTTTGTATCTGGATATAGAATCAATAAGCTGATTTTTTAAAAAGTAGGAAATAACCCACCTTTGGCGATGTCCAAGATTAGTGGAGAACATGGCTGATTTCAGAAAGTTTGACCCCAAATTTGAGGTTTGCTACTCCTAGTTTTGTGACATATAAAGCTCTACTGAGTTGTAAAATAAGGAAAATGCTCATCTCACACACTGGTGTGTGAGCATTTAGATAGAAATGTGTGTAAGAACCAAAGCACAATTCTTGGCACTTCATATAAGGTTTGTAAATATCAGTTTTATTACCATTATTGTCAATGACCTAGGCCATCTTGAAGACATTTTCCTGTCAGTAAAGTTATTATTATTATTATCTTTTACCTACAACTGATTAGTAGTCTACTTTGAATAAAAAGCAATTATTTTTCCTTATTGATATTAGGAACTTTCAACTTTGTATTAGATTTTCTTTAATTTAGCTGCTCTTTAATTCTTTGCAGCTTGTTGAGTGAAGATTGAATTGGAACACACAATACAATGTATAGATGATGGATTAAAGAAATGTATACTTGAAACCTACATAATTTTACTCACCAATGTCACCCCAATAAATTTAATAAATAAAAACAGAACAGCACTCTTTCTGTATAACTTGTTTTTAAATGTTTTATTTAAGTAAAAGACCCTCACCCAGTTCTAAAATTTCTGGACTAACAACTAACAATAATAAGAATAATAGCTGACATGCATTGTTTGCCATTACTTGTTCTAATTCTGTGTTTAGCATTTATTAATGCTTTTAATCCTCTTATCAATAGTAAGAAATAAGTCACACACACTAAAGTTTAATATGTGAAAATCAGGATTTACAAAATAGATGAATTAAGTTTTCCAGATTATCTATGCAGATCATCTATTCAGATGCTGATCTATTTCAGTACTACCCAAATTTCTCATTATGACACAGAATTCAGATATGGCCCCTATTTTCCTATTCTCTGTTTCTTTAATTATGAAGGAGAAGTCATGGTCAAACAAGATTCAGATCTCTCTCTCTCTCTCTCTCTCTCTCTCTCTCTCTCTCTCTCTCTCTCTCTCCCTCTCTCTCTCTTTTTTCTCTCTCCCTCCCTCTTTCTCCTTCTACAATTCACCAACTCAGAAGTTACAAAATGCCTTTCCTATGGAAATCCCTGAGGATGAAACAATGGGTGAGACATATTCTGAGTGACTTTGAGCACTTGAAATGAGGGATTTGGTTCTATCATTTCTCAACATGTGACTCAGACAAGACACAACTCAAAGTTCTTTGATCCTTCCCTACCCGATGATTTTTTTCAGTTATTTGATAGCCAAACACAACTTTTCTTTAATCCTTTTCAGTGCATTTTTTACCTCCTTGTTTCTCAAGCTATAGATGAATGGGTTTAACATGGGAATCACTATCACATAAAACACTGAAGCAAATTTATCTGTGTTCAGAGAATGGCTTGACTTGGGCTGTAGGTGCATAAAAATGATTGTCCCATAAAATATTGTGAGGGAGGTCAGATGGGAAGTACAGGTCAAAAAAGCTTTCTGTCTTCCTTCAGCGGAATGGGTCCTCAGGATGGCAACGAAGATGAAGACATAAGAAATGATCACCATCAGCAGAGAGCAAAGGGTATTGAACCCAGCAATGGTTAACAACATCAGCTCTTTGATGCGTGTGTCAGAGCAGGCCAGAGCAACCAACGGAACATCATCACAGTAGAAGTGGTTGATCACGTTGGAGTCACAAAAAGACAAGCGGAATGTCGCCACAGTCTCTATGAAACCCACAGTGAATCCATAGACGTATGTGCAAGCCATGATTTGGTTGCAGAGTTTTCTAGGCATGAGAATGACATAGAGTAAAGGGCTGCAAATGGCGACGTACCGATCGTAGGCCATGATTGCGAGCAAATATAGTTCACAAACAATAAACATGATGAAGACGCACAACTGAACAGCACATGCATAAAATGTTATACTTTTAACTTCACGCAGAAAATTCACCAAGGTGTTTGGGGTGACAGACGAAGTAAAAGAAAAATCAATAAAAGCCAAATGGCTGAGAAAAAAATACATGGGCGTGTGGAGCTGAGGACTGATCTGGATTAGCACAATCAAACCGAGGTTACCTACGACACTAGTGAAATAGATTATCAGGAATATGCCAAAGAGAATGGCTTGAAGTTCTGGATTATCTGTGAGTCCCGAGAGGATAAACTCAGGCACTGCTGAGTGATTGCTTTTGGCCATGGGTTAGATTTAAAAGTTTTTTACTTTCTCAGACCCTTCAGAGCACACGTTTAGAGTATTCTTGTCTCCATTGGCAATAGCCAAGAAGATGTTAGGAGCTGCTTCTGACCCAGCACGATCTTACGTTGAATGATAGCAAAGGAGAACCGTCATGTAGTTGAGGTTTCAGAATGAGGTGATTTGTTCTAGGCAGAAATTCCAAAGCATGAAACTCTGTGGGGATTTGTAAGGATAGAAAGATGGTATTTTATTTACAGTTTTATGTACTTGAATAATCTATCCTATAACTATTTTTAAAGAGAAAATAAAGATTGAGAGTTATGTGAATCCAAATAACAAACATTCTTTTAGTTATTGGAATATTTTAACAAAGTTATACTAATTCCTTTGAAAATTTTTAATTAACAGGAAGCAATAAATTCAAAAGATTAATTCCAGAAGAGGTAATATGAAAGGTCATAAACAAAATATTGAATACCAATGATCTCCTGACCAAATACTTAGGATAATTTTTATTATGTTTTGTTCCCTTATTGTGATTCCTAGATTGAGACTTACTCTGCAGAAACCTGTGTGTAATTATTTCCATTTTCTGATGACTGTAGGAGATTATTCTTTTTACTATATTTTGAAGTGTTCTTCCATTGCCTCACTAAATTGTGATCTCAAATGGTTGCCTGTCTTGGCTTTAGTGCTTTCTAGTTCTTATATTTCTCTGATGCATGGGAACCTGTGTAGCTGTTATCTGATATTACCAAACTCTCTTTAACATCTCCAGTCATTTTATTCTCCTTTCCTTACTGAACTTTGGCTTCCTCTTGAAATCCTGCTTCTCTGCGGATCACTTCTCTGCCGCCAGCTGCTCCATTGAAACCTCTCCACGTATTTCAAAGATGAGTTAAGGCACTATTCATGTATAGAGCTTTGTCCTTATTTATTGTCACATCTTGCCTTTGTGTAAACTCCCCTGATGCTTTGAGGCTTGTACCCATATTAATTGTTGTCACACATATATCCCGGTTACCCGTCTTATTCACTCAAGACTCTGGTACTGTGATTATGTTACTCTTCCACAAAGTTGTCACCAGTGCCCATGCACACCATATGTTTAACAATATGGCTCCTTAGATTCTTGGTCTTGATGTCAGCAACCCCACCACCATCCCACTCCCATGGCTCCATTTTGCAAATTATTTGCTCTAGAAATTGATCAAATATTAACTATCCCAAATTAAAACACTCTCTTATGACCACAACTTTCTGCCGTTTCCTTTTTACTTCCGTTATGACACTACAGTTTTTCGTTCATCTACTCGCATCACTGTTCCTTTAATTCCACTATTATCCCTTATCTATTGTCACCTGTTTCATTCAATTCTTATCCTATATATTCAATTCTTACCCTATACAGTTTAGACTGCGTAATTTACTACTAGGACTCTTGCTAACATTCAAAACTTTCTTGTCCTATTTCCTTCCAGGTATACCCCAAACTGGGTATTTTGGGATAGTCTTTTCTTCACCATTGTTCCTGAATTATTGTGAACACCATGTAGGCAAAGTGAGTTATTATAAGCTTATCACATTTGAACTCAAGTAGTCACTTACTTGGCTGGCCTTTTTCCCAATCAGTGTTTTTGTCTCTCAGTCTATATGTAGCCATTTCAAATCTTTCAGATATGTGCATACTCCCAGATAGCACCCCGCTACTCTCAGGAATTGCAAACAATTCTAACATCAGAGGGGGACTTAAAGTAATAAAATGAAACATTTCTCATCTTTTTAAGACCACTTGCTCAAAAATACCTGCTTCCACACCTATCTTTCCACATTTTTGGGGGTGGGGTGGTATTATCTTTCTAATAGCTAAAAACTCTTTTGTATCCATATCTTCTTCCTCTACTAATTTAGTCACTGTTTCCCAACAATTTAAAAACAAGATACATGCAAAAAAGCCTCACCAATGACCTCTGACTTCTATTCCTTTATCATTACTTATTAACTTTTGTTCTTTTCATCCCTTCAGTACCAAACATTCTGCAGTCTTTCACTTCATCTTTTACATTTATGTCTCAACTTACTGTAGTCTGTTATTTGTTCTCAACATAGTTGTAATGCAATTACTCATTCCAAGTTCACAAACACTCTTTTTATTCCCAAAGACAACAACTAGTTCTTTTATGACATCTCTGTAGCACTAGACACCATGAACATCAGCTTTCATCATGAAAACCAATGTTTTGTTTGTTTCTAAGTCACTAGAATCTCTGTGTTTTCCCATCTTTCTGCCTACTTTTACTTAACTTGGTGGTTCTGCTTCCTGTGTTTATGCTTTAAATAAACTAATACTTTACATTTTTTTCCTAAGCCAACTGATGCCATTTTTTGCACTTTCTTATTAGGAGCTCTTGTCTAGTGCTTTGCAGATAATTGTTATTTATATGCTGGTGATGCAGAGGTCTAAATTTCTAGACCAGATTTCTCCTCTAAACTCCAGGTACATATATTTAAAATATCCCCAGACAAGTTCATTTAGATATTTCCAAGATACCTACATTTAACATGTTTAAAAGAGAATTCAGCAATTAAAAAGCCAACCTATCCCACTCAGATACCATGGAGCATATATTTTCTAACTCAGTGAATGGTGCCATCTTCCAACCAGTTATCCAGATAAGAAACCAAGGAAACATTTTTCATATAGCTTTCTAACTTCCACTAATAAACAATTAGTTATTGAACACTACTGATTATTTAACCTATTTTTTCGTGTGAATCTGTCTACTTTCTAACACATTCTGTACTCTTTTATTTATTTAGACCTCTATCACAATTTTCCAGATTATTACCCTCTAATACTTATCTTAGCCACCAGTCTCACCATCATCATTTCTTTGCATATAGCACTTTGAGTGTACTCTTTAGTATAAAAACTTAGCTTGTTTCCCATTGACTACAGAATAGAGTCCAAACTTCTTAACATGGTTAAGTCAACTTTTGATTAACAAACCCTTCTTTGCATACTAGTCTCACCTCTTGTGACATTCTTCATGTTATCTCCATGTTCCAGCCATGTTGCATACTATCCGTTTCTCAGATGTTCCCACAGATGTTGTACATAGTCAAGCTCAAATACTCTTGCTTTTACCTTCACTCCTCTAGGTGGCTACTATATTTCTAGTCATACGTCAGATCTCAGGTGAAATTTCACTTCCTTCTAGAGATGTTTCATTACCTCTCAAGTGTTACATTCAACAACTCACTCACCTGTTAACTTGTTTGTAACCTACTCTAAATTTCAAAATCTTGATAAGCAGTGATAGTTCTATATTTTTCCAATTTTTTCCTACAAGATTTAGTAGGACTCAGGAATTAGTAGGTGCTCCAAATAGACTAGTAGAATAATGGAACAAATGATGACAAAGTTTGTATTCCTCCAAACCCTTTTTACTACCTCAATTACTTTGACCCCACCCCCCCCACTCCCGGCCCACTACATGCTGCCTTTGAGTAATCCACAACAAAATCAAAAAGAGTCCAACCGATATTGAGGCAAACTCTGAGGCTGTCAACAATACTTAGCATTACTTAAGTGCTGTGAGTATATTTTATACTGTTTGTTGGTTCCTCTAGAACATTTTCCTTGTATTACATCATTTAAAACAATTTCTGAACAAAAAAATGTAATGATGTCTCACAAGCATGAGCAATTATATGTTTCTCACTTAAGTGTGTTTTCTTTTGGGACCCAATTTGCTTAAACAGGTAAGGAGCAATTACTTGAAATTTCAAATCATTATACTGAATACAATTATGATAAAGAATTAATAACTAATGGCAAAGATTATTTTAACACATAGGAAAACTCATAAAATATTTAACTATTTTTTATTTACATTTTATGCTTTAGTATGGAGATTATTAACTTTTGTATTTTAGTAAGAGGTCACAGTATGCTTTAGATCAAAGTGAATTAACTTGCCATTATACTTTGCAAGGCTGCACATAATGATGTAGATTGTACTGAAGTTCTAATCCTACATCTGAAGTTGAATAATGTTTTGAGTTGTAAGCAAATAATAATGAAGCCATGAAGTTCTTATCAGCCTGGAGGTGCACTCATTCAAACCCAGAAAATTGTTGTTGGAAAGTTCTGTTCAAAGAGGAGAATGATTTAAAATGAACTTTGTTTTGTTTCCTGAAGTCTGCTGGAAAGCATTTAAAGGCATTCAAATCACAGAGAAATTAATGCTTCTACTCTTTAAACCCTCTAACAAACTATTTATCCCCATTCCTCACACACATGTATAGAATGATAAATAGATATACAGATAGAAAAATCATACACAATTCCTTATTTTTGGAGAAAATATAAAGGGAATCAAGTATTATTAAATGTGGATATTTTACCCTAGAAACGCCACCATTCTTCTGATTTTTTATAATACTATTTTACATAACAGAATTAAAAACAGCAAAAAAACTTAAACATAAATTGTACGGAAGATACCATATTTGTTTTGCATTTTATTTCTAACTAATCTGTAATGATTATACTAAAGTGTGGTTTTCTTTGGAGACTTGAAAAACATTTAAGCTTGAGAGACATCTATTATCACGTACATAGCTATTGGCCTTTGAGAATACATTCATCAATTGTTTTAGAAAGATACTTTAATTTTTTTCCTTCTGTCCAAAATCAGAAAATCTATTATTTTCAAGACTACTTCTTACAGTTAGTTTTATTTTTTAAAAAATTTACAATTCATTCTGTGATTACTATTGTTTCAACTATCTATTGTTATGTAAAGACCACCCCAGACCTTAGTGGCCTAAAGGAATAGTGATTATTATCTCTCATGATTCTGTGGACTAACTGGGCAATTCTGCCCCACGCAGTGTCAGCTGGGCTGGTAGGATGGCTGTATGGTTCAAAATTACCTTAACCACATGGCTGACACTTAGTGATGCTGTCAGCTTTGAAGAGCTTTGTTTCTTAT